GATTAAACCACGACAGACATCGAGCCATTGACCGTAACTCTTTGAGTGTGACCATACAGCCAATTCCTTACCCACCGAGTGGTCCATCCGTCAAATCCATGTCTCTCCAATTTAGAGACAAGGATGTCTTGCGAGTCAGTGTCAAATGCTTTGCACAAGTCTAGGTAGATGACGTCATTTGCTCTTCCCTTATCCACCAACGCTGTAACCCTGTCATAGAAGGCCACCATAAATCTTTTCTTTTCTTTTTATTTTGTCTTTTGGGTGGAATGCTACTACTAAAGTAATTGTCACAGTCATGATTCATGGTGGGCTATGATTCAACCAACAACAAATATCAGCATATCTGGCTCCATATCAGACCATGTTCATTGTGTTTACTCTCTATTGTTTGTGTATTGAACAGTCTTTAGGCATTATGCCTTCCACAGGCAGTATTTATCCTTCCATGCCAAATAACTGCACATGCAAGAAATGCCTAGCTGCACTTTTTTAGGTAGACTTGGTTTGCTCCACATACATATTTCAAATATATTATTTGCACTGTAATGCTCGAGACCGTAACAATTCTTACGCTTCTTAGGCTTCAGGGGCACTGTGTATGTGTAAATTATTCCTGTTTGAAGCTAGACACAGAATTTGTTTTACATAAAATTGATCTTTCATTTTCTCAGTCTTCAGTAACGGTAGTTCAGCTTCAGAGTCAGACGAGGAGGAGTGAGTCCAGAAAAATACTTGTTTCACTTTTCTGCCTCATTCTGACCAGGTTCTTCAGGCATCCTGAGATCACAGTCAGCATCTGATCCACTACTGAGGGAACTTTCCCCTCGCTTTGAAAATCCCAGACTTTGCCTGAGATTAAAGAGAATTTGGTTTTCTCAAGTCCTTATTCTGTAATTTCCTCGGCACCTCCAAAGACACCAGGAAAGAAATTCATATGTCAAAGCTGAAGTCCATGTACAGGTCTCAGAGCACCTGTTTCGTAACACAAACCAGTTTTAACAAAGAACAAGCATTTCCTGATTGCATAGCTATTGTAAACTTTCCAGACACTTCCAGTCTTGCTTACCCTTTCCTCAGCTGTGTGCAAAGTGCAAAAATACTGTGTTTCAACAAGAAATGTCTCAAGCATCCCTGACTTGCTTCATAGGTGCAATTCAAGGTGTTTGAACTTTTGGAGTTGTATTTTGTTAAAAAGCTTAGGTTCGTATAGGCTGAATTCTTCAAGGTTCTTTAGTGTTTCTCTATAAAATTCTATTCGATTGTTTTGGATGTCCCCTTCTTCATACAAGAAATAAAATAAAGAGCGTCATTAATGATAAACAGTGAGCAGTCAACCTAGAAGGGAATACACAAAACTAACCAAGAGGAAAATGTATGCACGCATGTTTAGCTGAACATTGCCTGAACCAGAGCTTTTCCTTGGGCATCTCTGTCCTCTTGGGATTCAGACCGCGAGGTGCTTTCAGGAAAGATCACAAGACGGAAGAAGATGGTCTTGTCCTCCACAGCATTGTCGTTCGACTTCTTTTCAGAAAAGGTGGAACCTGGATTCTAGACCCCCCTCAAATGCGTACATGTATGTGTCTGTGTGTGCACATGTACATGTGTGTGTGCATGGGCGAGCGTGGCAGGGGGTGGCAGGGTGGCAGCTCCTAGTTTGTGGGAGAAGGTTCTGTTCACCTCCCTGCTCCTGGGGACGGCGGATAGTCTCCATCCCTTTTGCTGAAGACATGAAGGGACTCGCAACAAAGATTTTTTTTTTCAATTGTGTAAGAAGGAGCCGTACTGTGTGACCACTGTATACGGGAAAATGGAAACCATTCTTTCATACCTCTGTGGGTAAAGTAGGCCTGCAATCCAGCAGGCACCAATGTGTTCCTGAAGGTCAGTACATAATATGAAGTTTCTTAAGTGTTAATAATGGGTCATTCTTTTTGTTCTTTTTTTTCAGTATCAGTTGGTAGCATCATCTGTTAATGATGTACATTAAATGCTTATAAAACTATGAAGGGATAATTTCTAAACAGTGATTTGTGTGACTCAGACATTGATGACAAACAAGATGTTTTACATACTTTATTAGTAATGAAAATATTCCTCAAAGACATGACTCCACTTACAACTTGCGTAGCTCCATCAAGAAGGAAATAAAGCTCCTCTCTTTCCTCTTACTTGTTGAATAGATTGAATATCTACACACTAAGTAGGAAATTAAAATTACGTCACCTGAAGTAGTAACATCCTCTTAAATACTGCTTTATGTTCTTGTCGAGTAGAAGAAACAAAATAGAAGACTTAAGAATAGCCTTGAAAAGAACTTTAAGGAATAGAAGCATGTAGAATTTGTAAAAAAGCTAGACAAATAATACTTTAGATACCCTGTCCTTGAATTATAAAATACAGTAGTGCTACATTCAAAGCATGTATTAGAATAACTCATTAAAAAGTGTACTCTGCATCTTGCACATCAGTTTTTCTGTTTTCATTGCTGCATTAAGTTCAAGGCACAGTTTTTATGGTTTTGGGTTTTTTATAAAGAAAATGCTTCAAAATTACACTACTAGTAAGGCAAATATTAAAAATAGGATTAAATCCAGTATACTCAAATATCCATTATCAGGTATCTTCTGGGCATAGACCAGAAATTAGTACAACATTGTCCACTCCAATTTCTCCAGTTTTGCCCTTCCCACGTTCTGATTCAAAAGTGACCTGCCATAAGAAAAGAGATGTATTAACAGTGAAAATGTAGTTTATCCAACCATTTAGCAACTCTTAATGTTAATTAGTTATAATGCTATATCTGCGGAATGTTTTATCACAATACAGGACTTAATGACTTAAATCCTTACAGTTTTTAGAGTTTCCGTGTATTATCTGAACTAGACTGATAATCCTCTGCACAGATTTACAACACCAAATGGATTCCTTTAATAAGATTACTTATTTTCATTGTACAAAGAAAATGCAAATTGAATGAAATCCTATTACAATAGTGTAGTTTTTTCACAGTATGTGATGTTAGTGCACTCCTTTTCTTGAAGACATTACAACTGTTCATTTTCGATCTATTTGGATCCTTAGTTTTGGGGTGTATATATTGAATAAATTTACTCTCTCTATATATATAGTATGTGTCTATATAGTATAGTATGTATGCTATAGAGAGAGAGTAGGTTCATTTTTATGAATGGGATGCCTGGGTTTTTATTTTATAGTCTGATTCTCATTTATGTAAGGGACTTTCTACATCATTCCAGCAGTACAAAGAACCTTGAGAAGAGCTTGCATTTCATTTATACTCACAGTATTCAATTATACAGTAGAAGCCTTTACACAGCACTGAAAATGCTCAGTCACATAAATGAAAACCAGGCCCTAGCATTTCAAGGAGAAACTTGTCGAAGCCCTAATTGAGGCAGTTTTCTGTGCGCAGTGTTCCCTGTTGGCTAGTATGTCCTGCTGCTAGGGTGATTGCCCGCCCTTGATTATACATGGTGCCTCCTTTTGCACTAATTATCTGGTTTAGTGTGGTTTGAGAGCATCCTCTTCTATGAAACAGAGATAATTTTCATTTTTCCAGGAATATATGTATGCTTCTGTTGCATAAGATACTAAACAGAGATTTTCATTGTTTGTGTTAATTCATGATCTGATGCAGTTTTTACAAAATGACAGGATTACTGGCATCAATGTTCTAACCAACTGGGGTAATTCAGTTCTGAAATTACAACCAGATAATAACTTTTCTGCCTCCTAAAATCTGTGCTCCTGTTTCCCATTTCAGATAAGCCTTTCAATTGCCAGTAAGCAACGCCTGTAAAACCGTTGGTGGAACACTTGAGGATTAGGAAATTAAGGTGTTGATTATGGTATTTGGCTTATAAATTGTGTTATACTTACGCTGTTAGTTGTTTCAGCCCCCTGAAATATCTCTATTTTTCCGGTTCTCCACCTTTCATCTTTTCCTTTGTTCTGCTCCCAGACAGGAGCAGTTTTTTTGTTTGCCAGGAACACCCGAAGTTTCCCCACTCTCTCTCCAGCAAGCCGATAACTGAAAATCAAGCAGTAGCTGCTCTTCGGTCTGAGATCAGTGAGGAGAAGTTTTAGACGCCCCATATCCTTCTTGTGCCCCACAAAACCTGGAACTGCCATGTAGTACCCATCGCCTTGTAACAAAAAAAAAGGAAAACACATCTTTAATGGACTTGTGTTATTTATTAGCAAATTGAATACATATTTGCTAAGAAAATATGTGGAAGCTCTGTTACTTGAATAATTTAAAATCAGACTGGAGAAAAGCAGCAGGGAGTGTACTTTGCAAGGAATAAGCTTGCACTGTCGGAAGTCAGATCAGTTTACAGAGGAGATGAGTTCATATTTCACTGGCAATTACAGTCATTCTTCCTTGCACTCTCTTCCAAAGGCAAAACCATCTCAGTTTTTCAAATGCAACAGCCTGAAACATGCTGCTGTGCCTCTGTGGTCAGACCATTTCCAGTACTTGAGGTAGCGCTCTCCACTGCCCTCTGCAGTGATGACAAACTCATAAAGGAACCGATAGCTTATTCCCCAAATCCTGGAGGACCAATGAAATGACGGAGACACACAAAGTGATAAAGGGATAAAACCTCTGGGCCCATAAATAAAGTAATTATCAGCAGATGTAGGTTCGGGGAGACGGGGTAAGGTCTTCCTGGAAGTGACATCACAGAGAAGGGACTTGGGGAAAAGGAAATATATGGAGCAGGAGAGGAAGGATTAGTGAAGAAAGACTGGGATGGAAAGACTGTGAGGGAAGAGGGAGAGAATGTGTGTGTAGGAACTGGAGCAAGTGGCCTGCAGGATCTGCAGGATCCACCGGTCCCTCTTGCAGCAACTTCTGCAACATTTCCTGTGTCACAGGGGAAGAGACATCCTTTCAAACAAGTTTCTTCAGCCACACCTTTTTATATACACCAGTACAGCAATCACACATTGCAGTCGTGGAGCTCTTTCTCAGGTTTTAGCAGGCCTGCAGTTGGTACCCGGTCAGGTATCGGTTGTTCTTGAATAGCGCCCTGCCCTTGGCTCATTCTGAGGAATGCCGTCACTAGCTTGTCTTGCAAAGTTTGAGAGTTCTGAGCAGTTATCGCAGTGCTGTCTAAGCCATGTGAGTGACCACATTGCCACATCCATCTAAATGGCAGATGTGTGGTTAAATGCCCTGCCAGTCTTGGAGACACACAACGCGTAACTAATAAGGTTTCCATTGCCTTGTACCTTGCAATTCTGAACAGTTATATTCTAATCATTTTTCTCATCTTTTGATTCACTTGTGCTGAAATATGTTGCGGATTACCAGTTGCCACTGGATATTTCAAAGAAACAATTGCCACTCCCAGGATTCTCTGCCTCCTTTCTTCTTTTATAAAGATAACCCACTGATAGGAAAGCTAACTCTTGATTCTGTTTTCCCCTCCGTCCCCCTTTTTTTGGAGGGGGCGAGCCATCAAATCAAAGCATAGCTAGAGGACAGATATTTAAATACCTCTATCTCGATCAGCAGGATTCCAGTCAAAGTCATCATCAGCATCTTGTTTCCAGTCGCAGACCCCTCGACTGAAGCTGCAATCAACTGAAAAAAAAAATTGGCAATGGAGACTCAGAGATAAGAGGAGCACTATATCGTAAGTACGGATAAAAATAATTTGCTCTTTATTCACCCAGTTATGAATGGATAGGTCATTCTAAAATTATCTACAATCTGAGTTCAGATAGTGTTGACCTAGATTAAATCGCAAAAAAGCAAAACATTAGAATTTGTGTAGTAATTCTTTCTTTAACTCACAGGAAAATCTGTTGTGTCTTTTTACTGCCAATCTCCTATCTGCACATGAGTTTATATGCTGTGACTTCTGTATACTGAGTGCCTGCTGATCGCCAGGTATAGTTGGAGGTGTTAGTTTTGAACTCTAGCATCATAAATGGTTTGGGATCTGCCAACTTTAGAGCTTTCCTCTCTCCATTTGTTACACTGCTGGAGTTGTAATCCGCTGCGATGCTCAAGCTCCAGTTCTATCCATTGAAAGAGAGAAGCTGGCCTCCCATGAGAGGAATCCTTTACGTCAGGACTTGATACTCGTACTACATGGAGCTGGGAATAGCCCAAATCAGTTGACCTTTACAGCACACTGAAAAAGGGTGTCATCCAGAGCACACCACAGCCTTCGTGACTGTGCAGATGAAAAGCATTACATACACAAAGAAACAAACACTGTGCAATGCAAGCATGACAGATCAGATTAAGAACAATACGTCAGCCATCTGAATTTCCTCAGAAAGAAGCATCCTTCTTGTTCTTTTCATGTATTTTATCATGAGACAGAGAAGTGCAGTACATGGCATTTAGAGAGCTTTACTGTATAAACCCGTTGTTTCTGAGACTACTGCTTTCTGAATTGGAAAAAACCCACCATCTTACCCTTAATGTCAGCCAGCACATCTGCCTGTTTTGTTTTGTTTTGTTTTCTTTAAGATTTGGAAGCATTTGTGGGTTGTTTTTGGGTGAAACCCACCTTGTCCTAAAAACAATCATCTCAGCTACAGCCAATCCCAGCATTTCAGCCCCTGCCCACTTGGCTGGTAACTCCCCAGGAGGAGGATGCTGCCCTGTAAATGCATCAACTCAATACGATCTCTCAGTCCTCCCCTTTGGATTCTGCTTTTTTCCATGGCTCTCATAAGCAGGTCCTTATAGTCAGCTTCATGATTCTGTCCATCACAGGGAAACTCTCTCCCACCGGGAGAGAGGGGGAGAGTGCCCTTTGATCTGCCTTTATGCTCTGCTTTGACCAGAGCTACACTGCAGTCTGTTATAGTTCCCACCAGGCAGTGGAGTTTTCTGTTTGAAAGTCTGTGAAGCAGTTTCCTAAGGCATGGCAGAAGCTTAAGCTGTGTACATAAATTGACAGGTCTTGGACCTTGTATGCTCCCCTGACTGATTTTACAACGATTTTTTAATGTGAGAAAGAACAGGTAGTATCATCTTACTCTGATATCCACAGGACTTACTGATGAATTGGGAACTATCGTAAATTCATAGCCAGGCTATATAAGATTCAGGGTAAATATTTATTCAGTCTTGTTCAGGGGAAACTCCTATTGACTTCTGACAGAGGACCAGGAGAAAAACCAAGAGAATATGGCTGAAGGACATTGGCATATTGTTGCGTGCTATGCAACACTCTTCTAACATGGTTTCATTTTATAGATGATAGAAATGACTTTATTTTTTCATGACTATGAAATAAATCAAGTGAAATTCAATTGCAAGTCAAGTTTCAATGTGGGGGAACTTTCTATACATGGCTTATGAACAGTTGAAGTATGTTTTGAAAAGGACGCAAAAACAGCTTCTCACATTGGAACTGGCAGAATGGTTTGGCCAGATACTGTCTCTAACACACTCACCAAACCTTTGTTTTACATTAAAGGCTTTTAAACTGGTTCTGACTTGGCTAATATAGGTTGTCATGAAAACACACAATACACAGGAAAATAAATACTGTAGAATAAAAAGAACCTACCTTCTTGCTCTGGTCTCGACACTGGAGCTTTCCTCTGTGCCAGGAGAGGGCCGAAGGCAGCTGCTTCTTTCACCTTGGGAACTAGGGAAAACAGCTTGTCAAGTGCCGAGTCATCACAGGAACAGAAAATGGAACTTTATTCCTTTATACCAGTTGCCATCGTTTATTTAAATAACTCAATGTATGTGTTTTCCACTCCACCACCAAACTCACATTCCTAACCCCAGTTAGATACTAACTCTGAATTTTAAAACTTTGTTTAAATTGCTGTTTTCCACAGCACTGTGCCTTCTAAGCTGTGGGAAATGGAGCTACAAGATTCACAAGGTCATAAAACGTTAAACATGATCTTTCTTTGGCGTGGTGATCTGCTTTCTTGCTACAAAACTTCCACTAATGATCGAAGTACCTGAACTCTACCAGACAGCGAAGACAACGACTCAACGGCTTGGCAGCACTTTGCCAACAGCAGCCTTTAAAAATAGGTAATGTCAGAGACTTTGTAAAAGCCATAAACGTTGGGGGATCAAAGGCCCACAGCTCTGTATTCAGGTAAGTGATAGCTGGTGCTGCTGTAACAGAAGCCCCAGGAAATTTTTTTTCTGAAGCCATACTCTTTGCTGGGGTACATGTTCTCCTGCAAACCTGATCAGCTCTGCTGTCTGTTGGGAAGGAAGGGTTCAACGACTGCCCTACCTCTTCCTCACCCTCCCTGCAACAGCTGGCAAGCACAGCCTGATGTTTTGATAACCAGTCCTGGTGGAAACCCCCCAAAAAGTTCTTTTGTAAAAATTGGTTGACGTGTCTTGTGCCAAACCGAAAGAGTTGGTACAGGAGCACAGTCAATGAATGTTAGGTGCATTCTCTAAGATACTGGCCTAAAGGAGGTAGTTACTCAGGAAGCGTTATTTTTCAGCAGCAGCCTCAGAGACCAAGGCAAAACCTCTCCTATCTGATGAGCTACAAAGATATAGAAGCTTGCAAACTCTTACTTACTCTAAGTAATACTCTAAAATACTCTAGGCATTTTTAAAGTTCTGTGATTAAGCTTCTTTTGTATTATTTTAAGTGATTAACAGAGAAGTGCACTCACTAAAAAAAATGATAGTCTCAACTTCTTTGTGCAGAGCCTGTGTAAGTAACTAATCACACATGAGATAAGGGAAAGATCTGCTTTCACTGGCAGAGGATTCTATCCTTTGCAAACACATATGCAGATTATACCTATGATATATACATACACACCTATGAAAACAGGAGGAGCTTAAATGTGCCATTTTAGAGGAGGAGTGAGGGAGGATCCTTGGATTACTGCTTACAGAAGGTGTTAGTGGAAAGCCTGACAGACTGAAGTTCACTTTTCAGCCACACCATGTGGGCAGCAGCGCTAAGAAAAGCTCGGATTTCCTCAACAGTGCCAGATGATAGGAGCTATGGAAATGGAAATTACTTTTCCCTACGCAGCATTGTATCCTGCATGCTATTAGAAAGTCGCAAATGCCAAATATTTTAAAAGTCATTACTTTCACATGCACGCACATTTGTTCAGAAGGGAGTTTGTTCCCGTGGGTTCCACTGAGCTAGGGTTTTCCATCGAAATACTCCAACATACTCACAGTCGTAAACACATACTCAATTTTAAGAATATACTTACAAGCCACTGCAATCCAGAGCCTCCTAGCACCATAAAGACTATGCCATCTACTTAACCTTTCTTCTCCCTCAAAACTGTCAAAAATTGCTCTGTGTGTACACCAGAGAAAACACACACTAATGAAGAGGCCCTGGAGGCACTTCCAGAGGTGCTGAATTGAGCCGAGGAAGGAGGCTCATGCAATCTTACGAGCTTTCTGATGAATTGCCAGGAGCATGTCCTCTCTTGTTGCCCTTGTAGCCTTTCCCTCATCCAGACCATTGCTTAAATTATCTGGATAATATTTTTACTTAAGGAAAGGATTAATATATCTTTCTCCAAATTAATATGTGTCTACATATACACATTTAGGAACAGGCACATAGAGATTAGGTGTTAAGTTTACTGTCATGCCATAAACTTGGCCTTGTACTTAGTGAAAGAGACTCAGACTGTGAAAACCCTTGCCAAAATGAAGAGAGCTATTAAAATATGATCAGTTCTGGAAAGAGTGGAGTGATTTAACAGAAGACAACAGCTGCCAGAATGATTTATTTATTGAATTATTGAATTACACTTGAATTCACTTGAGGGATATACATGCAGGTGTTGCTGTGTGCTGCAGATGCTTAAAGTGAAGAACTGTCATACCCATAAAAAGAGCCAAATTTTGTATCCAAATCTATTTTTGTTTTCAGTGTCAGGCATTACACTCAGGTTCTCCACTGACTGGAAGATATCACCTGCGTATTATGAGAAACTGCAAGCTTCAGCTTACAGAAAGGTTTCCAAGAAACCTTACTTCTTGGAATGTGCCTACATTTTACATCAGACCATCACTGGATATAGCAAGGATCCAAAGTTTACCCCCTCCTAAGTACTAGGCAGGAGTCCAGATTGCTCTGTTCAGCTCTTCTGCTGTCAAGTGGTGCTTGCAGAAAGGCAGGCTTCGTCTCATGGTCCCTAAGAACATAGTCTCACCAACAAAAGCTCACATACATCCCACTTTTGGCACAGCAGAGTCTATCCTTCTTTCTGTATTGCTGGTGCCCACCCATCTACTTATCTGCAGCACTAACTACTACATAATCTCTACATATAAAACCCTTCGTATCATGGTGCCACACATTCTTAACCGTTGATGTCATCATGATACTCTTATGAGGTAAGATAGGTTGATCTCATGAGCAGGCATTAGTGGCAGAGAGAACTAATGCCCGGGTCTTCAGAGGTACCTATGTAACTAACTAACTGCCACCAATTTCCATAGGAGTTGTGTCTATGAATGTCTGTGATGAGCTGAGCATAAGTAAATTGGTGACGTTCTGGTCCTGAGAACAGCCATCTTGCTGCGGACACAGGTTCTTGCATCTGCAGGAAATTCAGTGTTGCTATCTGTGACATGTATCTGGGTATTGCCCCTGTTCCGAGGAGGGGGAATCTCTTTGAGCCACGTTAGATGCAGTTTGTCAATTGTACTGTGTATCAGGAACTGCAGCAAGGAACGAGACTTTCTGCAAAATAGAATAGCCCCAGCCAGCTCTATCTGGTTGAAAGTACTTCCCTAAAAAATAATAGGTGTCACATAAAACAACTCTGAAACTACTGAGGATGTCTGCAATCATGGAAACGCTTCTTAGCAATAACCTCAGAAAATGAGAAAGTAGTGCTGAAAAGAAGCATTGAGACATTGTTCTAGTATAACCGTGCCTAAATAGAGTGCCACAAAAGAGATTTAGAAACAAATTTATACATGAAACTAGAATTCCACTTTAAAAACACCAGGCTTACAGGGAGCGCTGCGCATAATGAAATAGATGAGGTTTCAGAGCCACCTCCTAGCCAACCCCCTGTCCGGGGACCTTTAGATAGCTAGGTAAAGAAAGGTAACAGACTGCTGCTAAAAGTTATAGCAAAAGAGCTAGTTAGGTTCAAGCATATCCTTTTGTACAGTGCACAGCAGTGTCCTCCTAGAAGTGCAGGCAGACACCAGTTCACTCTGCCTGTCAAACAGGCTTGTTAGCACTGGTCTGCCGGTTGCGCCAACTCTGACTACATGACTTCTTGGTTGGAGCTGGCTTGCACCTGGCTTGCTTGGAGCACAACTAAAGTGAGCTCAGGTCCGCCTGAAAAGTACCACGTAGATAGACCCTCAAGTCAGTCTATAAGTCAAATAAGGGGCAACAAGATCACAAAAGCAATAGGAAGCTTCAGGAGCACATCTGGAAAAGCACTGCTTGGACTAAGCTGCAATATTAAAAGGTTCAAAGTAAAAAAACCCAACAAACCCCAAACCCAACAAGCAGAAGCTCAGTACAATAGGTCTGTGGAGCACTGTTTTATGGGCATCCTTCAGAAACAGTACAAAGGCACTGGTAAGTGACGGGTAAGTGACTCTGTGGTGCTAAAGGAGCTTCCTGAAAACGCTGATAGATTTTCCTTTATGTGCACTTGGTTTCACCTCTCTGCTTTGCCAACCGCTGTATATAAAATTACTTATAGTGTATTTGGAAATGACATTTTTGTCTGAAAAAATATGGCTTGGTTTCTAGCCTGGAAGTAATTTTCTATTTGTCTGCAGTAATGCATGTGCTATCCTTAAAGCTTTAATTCCTTTTTTTTCCCTGTTAGTGGGACTGTATTTCTTATAAATCATCTGTGGCATCACATTGAGCTGTTGCTGAGGCAGCTATACTGGAAGGACGGATATACAGCAGAATATAAGCACCCATGTATTTAAGTGTGCTAGTTGTAGGCAACGCGGTATATTTTTATTTCTTGTTATGGCTGTTTGATTTTTCTGTCCCCTGGAAAATGCCTATGCCTGATTTTGCCTAGGTAGTCCACTTAGTCTAAATGTAAAAATAACACACAAAATTTGGGAAAACTAACTCATTGTTGGTAATTCTAACACATAGAATTCTAAAGTGACTGAAACTGCAGCATGTGGGAACTCTCACAAAAACGGTACTCGCTGTCTTTCTAACACTGCTCTCTGATGTTCAAAGCCCATAAAAAAACCCCAGAAAACCAGAGTGGGCACTGTAAAAAAATCAAGCAGAAGTAAAATACAAGTAAAATGAAGACTAGCTTCCTATATATACAGTATATCACTGTGTCGGACTGAAAGGAATCATGCCACATCTCTGCTACCACATCCTCCTCTGAAAGAATTACATTCGCCAGATGTCTGACATCTTTTGAGCCTTTTATCTATAGCTGTGGACTGAGCTGTGGCCTGAGCATTATTCGCTCACACAGTGGTCTAATTATCAGAAAAGAATAAGATTAAGAGCAAACATCCTGATTAACTGAAAGAGTGCTCTTGTTCAGAATTAAGAGCCTAGAATCCATAAGAGAAACAGTCCACTTTTAGTATTGCCAAATAAACCAGAAAACCAAAACCTCTTTACCATTCTTGGTGCTATCAAAGGAAGGGGCTCTGTAA